CTATCATTCATCACTGATACCACATCAGCAAATGTTGCTGTGTTTCGGTTTGAAGGGTGGAACGTGGCAGTGAAAACACAAGGTACGGTGGCACCTTAGTTCTCAGAAAATGTAATACATGTGAGGTGTCATGAGCGACATAGTATATCTCTCTTATATGTTATGTCCATGATACTGCTCATACTTAGAGGCGACAGTTACCATGTGACAGTTTTAATCATGTGGACCCCTTGTTTACCATTCTAAGTTGCATAAAAAAATACCAGTAGCGCTAATTTGTTTCCATTCCATTATTGGCCATTAAAAAATGCCCTGTCTCTTCTTTCGTTTATAATTACGAGTACAATGGATATAGTTCAGTTTGTTATTTAATTAATTTTATTATGCATCGGGTTAGACGAGAATTGTAAATAACGAAGCTAGACTACCGTGACGGTCGTGGTGTGTGGGCGTATGTTACACGGTATTAGAATCGAGAGACATAAATCACTGTTTGTTTATCAATAACGAGTGGTCATTTAATGGAGTGTGAGTCGTAAATTGCTCATAAATTGCAAATTAATTTAATTTTAGTGTATTGTCCATTTTGAAGTAAGCATATACCTTGTTGTCACCAAATCAATATCATCATTATCATCATCATTTCAGCCATTATCTGTCCACTGCTGGCCATAAGCCTCCCCCATAGACTGCCATAAAGAACGGTCCTGAGCCACCTACATCCACTAACCTCCTGCAATGTATTTCAGTATAGGGAGAAGGGATTGTTAGTGATGCGAGCTATCAGTTCCATGGCTAGCAATATACCATGTCAGGAAACCATCGTGGCTAATTCTAATTGAATTCGTCAGGATGGGCTAACTGGCCTGTTTTCATTCTCATCGATCACCCTTCACTGGTGCTCCGCTAGCGTATCCCGTTAGCGCAGGCGGGGTTACCATTCCATTTTCAACCATAAAAAAAAAAATTCATTTCAGGTCGTGACTATCAACATTATATCAGCCTTTAACTGTCCACTGCTGAACATATACCTCCCTTTGCAGGTTTTGCCCATATTTGCCATGCTTGGCAGACGGATTGGCAATCACAGTTAAGCTTTATAAATGTTTTTAAAGGAATACTACTGTCCATGCCTCGCCGTCCCTTAGTCACTTCTCACGACAGCCACGGTTAAAAAAGGGCTGGCTTATTCTATGCCGGGACCACACAACCAACGAAAAGAACGAGGTTTAGATTCGTTGGTATATTTCTTTTTTTTTTTTTGCAAATTATATTATTAATACTGGACTGTTTTTCTGTAGTTTATTTTTCAAATATAAGTTATGTATGAAGTACGTTATTAATTTAGTCATGAATAAAAGTGCACTTTGCATTACAATATATGATCAAGCGAACTTCCAGAGTGAAGTTCCATCAATATATTATGAGTCTTCATTCTTCAGATATATAGTAATTAGCCAGGTAGTCCTTTTATCCTACATGGCAATTTGCACGATTTTTAAAGACAAAATCGATAAATTTTATCGATTTGTTTTTTTTTTCGTCTTGCAACATTTCTCGACAGAGCCCTCATTCTTTAGAGACCAAATCATAAAACTTTTCGGGGATTTGGGATGGGTGGGTGTTTTATGTTTTATATATATATATATTTTATACAACTTAGAATGGCAAACAAGCTGACGGCCCACTTGATGGAAAATGGTAACCGTCGCCTATAGACATGAGCAGTACCATGGACATAACAGAGTATACTGTTTCGTCCATGATACCCCCCACGCGTTGCCATTCCTGACGACTCAGGTGTAATTTCTCTATACCCTGTAAATTCACGCCATATCATACCCTTCAAACCGAAACACAGCCATGTAAACACAACTGCTTCACGGTTGAAACACGAATGGGACAGAGGTACCCAAGCAATCGACTTTTGTACAAAGTCTCCCTCTGGTATATCTGGTATATATTATATCTGAAGAATGAAGAACGAAATATAATTTGGTACAGCCTTACTAATAATATAAATGTGAAGGCGAGTTTCATAGACTGCCATAGAGAATAGTCCTAAACCACTTGCATCCACTGACTTCTTGCAATGCATTTGAGGTCGTCACTCGACCTAGTAGAGGGTTTTTTTAATGGATGATAAGGAATAATAATGGAATGGTGGCCCACGCTATCGGTATACGCTGACGGGTCATCAGTGAGAGATGATAGGTGACGATGAAAGCAGGTCAGTTAGCCCATCGTGACAAATTCTACTAAAATTAACCACGACGCTTTCCAGGTGGAACCGCGCGGAGGTCGACCTGATAGTCACTCAGTTAGACTCCCATTACTAACAATCCCTTTCTCCCCCCTAGTAGATGTTTTTTTTTTTTCATTTAAGAGTTTCCTCTTGTCGGTGCAACTAATTCATGCATCTTCCTTCAGCCAGCTCTATCCAGGCCATATCCTTTATCTCCCTATACGACATGACGCCTAGTGTTTCCTTTATCTGTCCCATGTAGTTAATCCTCGGTCTTCCTCTTCCTCTTTTGCCCTATATCTTTCCTTCTACTATGCTCTTAAAAAAATCGTCATGTCGTATAAGGTGGCCCAGCATTTTGCCTCTTCTATTCTTTATTATCTTTGGTTTTTCGAGTTATGTAACCAGCCCGTGGCCACTTCAGCTTGCTTATTCTTCGGGCTATGTCGGTGAATTTAAAACTCGTTCTTTGCGTAATCTAAAAGACGTTAATCATTGAGCAGCCGAACATATTTATATTCAAATTATAAAATCTAGATATAAATCTTGATTTTAATTAAACTGATGATCATTTTATAAACTGGCTGTTACGACCTTGCCATTTATCATTGCGCAAATGCATTTATTTAGTTAATAAGTGTCTAATTAACATTTTAATAAACTGTTTAAGATGTCCTAAACTAGTTCAGTGGTAAAACATTATGACAACTTGATTGATAGATTGTAGTCATTTGGTGGGAAATGGTAACAGCCTTTACATGTAAACATCATCGATGATGACATGTACATGACGACATATGTATGTAAATATGTGACATTCAGTTTTTGTTTTGTGTTTTTTTTTATATATTTTTTTTTTATACTACTTAGAATGGCAAACAAGCTGGCGGTCCACCTAATGGAAAGTGGTAACCGTCGCCTATAGACATGAACAGTACTATGAACATAACAGAGCATACTGTTTCGCCCATGATACACCCCATGCGTTGCCATTCCTGAGGACTCAGATGTTATTCCTCTGTACCCAGTAAATTTACGCCATATCCCACCCTTCAAACCGAAACACAGCCATGCAAACACAGCTGCTTTACGGTTGAAACACGTTCGCAGCATAGCACAGTTAAATGAATTTTGTATGCCAAATTCTGGTGAAAAGTGTGAATAATATTTAAATATTATCTACCGTGAAGCAGTTGTGTTTGCATGGCTGTGTTTCGGTTTATAGGGTGTGATATGGCGTGAATTTACAGGGTACAGAGGAATAACATCTAAGTCCTCATGACAATGCATGGGAGGTATCATGGGTGAAACAGTATACTCTGTTATGTCCACGGTACTGCTCATGTCTATAAGCGACGGTTATAACTATCCATCAGGTGGACCGTCAGCTTGTTTGTCATTCTAAGTTGTATAAAAAAAAAGATATCCTTTTTACCACTTTTTAAATAAAATAAATTATTTGTATTAAACATGGCCCGTCTGATCGTAAACGGTTATTAAATCTTCAACTTATGGATATCTTAACACTTCTCTTTTCATTTAAGTGTTTCCTCTTGTCGATGCAACTAATTCACGTATCTTCTTCCAGCTAGCTCTATCCCAGGCCATATCTCTGACCTCCCTATACGACATGACACCTAATGTTTCCTTTATCTGTTCCATGTACTTATTCCTCGGTCTTCCATAAAAAACCAAAAAGATAGAATGTGTTGTTCATTTACCTACTTGTATGTCATTTACATACATATGTACTCATATATAATACATTTTGCCAGATTTTTTTTATTTATTCATAGTCAGGTCTAGTTTTAGTTTACATTTAATATAAAATTACAAATGACTGTCATTGTAATACATGTGGCGATATCTAGTGGCGTTTGAAGGAAATAAACTTAAATTAGAAAGCATTAGACCGGTGATGCCGTGTAACTTAAGTATTTGATTCTCAAAGCACGTACATACGTACTAATTCTTCATAGTACACGAAACCGATGACAGATGGCGTGATTAATTTTGTATAACTTAAATTCAAACAACTTAAATCTTTTAATATTGAAATAAGTATTTTATGTATGGAAAAGTTTTCTGGGCATGTAATATAACTTTCTTTTTTATTATGCCTTTTTTAAATAATAGATAAAGGTATTTAAATGTTTAACGTTGACGCTATAGGTGAGAGAACCTGTAATGACATCATTGTAATAAATATAAATAAATAAATATTTTTTTAATTATAATAGTTATTAATTTTTGTAGTCTAGCGTGGAAATTAATTTACATATTAAAATATCAAAAAACCTAGCTACCAGGCTGATAATAAACCGATGTATTCTATTTTTAAGGCCAACAAATAGTGCCCAGCAGTGGAATTATGGTAATAATAGTGGTAAAGAAGAGACACACCTTGGACACAATACAACAATTGTTTTGAAAAGATTGTATGAACTTAATGTTTTATATATATATGATAAATTACAAAAGTCGTATGCTTGGGTACCTCTGTCCCATTCGTGTTTCAACCATGAAGCAGTTGTGTTTGCATGGCTATGTTTCGGTTTGAAAGGTGGGATATGGCGTGAATTTACAGGGTGCACAGTAATAACACCTGAGTCCTCAGGAATGGCAACGCATTATGTCCATGGTACTGCTCATGTGTATAGGCGACGGTTACCACTTTCCATCAAACGGGCTGTTAGCTTGTTTGCCATTCTAAGTTGTATAAAAAAAATTATTAACTGACGTATTATATTTACAGAAAGAACCTCAGTCTCCAACCGGTGGACAAAGAAGAAGATGCCCACTACTTCACGTATCGGGACGTGAACCGGACCCACGTGTCAGTGGTGCTGGCGCAGAGCCTCAACTCAATGGTGGACAGTGACACGCCGCAGAACGTCATGAAGTTCAGGCTTGGCTGCGACTTCGATTCTGGCGATGACCTTGTAAGAATAATAACTCTAAAGACTTATTATTTATTTATTTATTTACTCATGTATCCATTTACAACTTACTTTAAATGTAATGGCGCTGATATTGGGAAAATTCTAGTTGCGCAAAAAAGTTGCATACGTGCTATATGTAATATTGCACCTGATGTTTCTTGTAGACCTTATTTCAAATCTCTAAATATATTACCTGTTCCCAGTCTGTATATACTTGAACCATTTGTTAAATTAAATAAGACATGTTTGCAGATGAAAAAGCAAATACAAAGAAGCGCAAGATACCCTAAAGAACTAGTGACCAATACAATTCTCAAAACAACTTTATTAATATTCGTACAAGATGTTTTTTATTACGGATTAAACTTCAATTAAATAAATTAAATTTGTATTACATAAATGGTTATTTAGCAAAAGCTTTTACTCTGTTGACGAATTTTTCAAAAAAGAATAGATAAATGTCTAATATAGTTGTCGATGCATAAATTAATCAGTTCCTATCAAAATGGGACATTTGCATGCTATTCTGTAATGGCTAAATAGGAACGAGACTTTATGTAATACAAGACCACCGATACCTACCCTATTTAATGCAAATAAATGTATTATTATTATTATTAATACAATTTAACTGTTAGACTATTTAAATTACAGCTCCAAATTACTTAGCGAATTATAGAAAGGGCCATGCTCAGAGTTTCTTTGCGTAACAGAATCCGAAATGAGGATATATGCAAAAGAACCAAAGTAACCGACATAGGCCGAAGAATAATCAAGTTGAAGTGACAATAGGCTGGTCACATATGAATTAAAACACAACTTTTTAATGTAGTGACTTCAAAGATTTTTTATCTTTAACTAATATTTATAGTACTTAGATGTAAGGCGTGAATATAATAGATAGATTTACAACAGAAATATTTTAAAATTGATACTTTAAATATGTATTTTTATATTTAAGAATTTCTTTTATATATAATTTGGTGATCAGTTTATTTACTGATATGGTATAACTTAAGCTTACCAAAGTGTGTTAACGTTGTAATTAACTGTCAGTTTACAAAAATAATTGAACAATTTTTTAATATTTTCCATTGGATAATTTAAAAAGTGCTGCGACAACGAAGTAAATTATCAATCATAGAATAGTTTATAAATAAATCTAAAAAGTTTGCACTTACTTCGTATTTTGTTTTGAACTATTTTAAACACATTTTACCATCAAAATCCGAATATACAATGACAGATCAATAAAAAAAAGTTAATGCGTAATTAACATGTTTAGTTCGACAACAGAGAAATTTTAAAATTATTTCTCAAACAACGTTTTTAATTTCAATTGACAGATAATGCGGTGTTGCCACACTTTGGTAGGAAAAAGTTATGAACGCATTTAATCAATGCATACAATAATCGGAACGTATTAGTTACTATTGAACAAAATTAGTTTATTATCTAAAATTTAAATTATTTAAATAATTTATTACAAATATCACAATATATAGCTGAAATAAAATTTACTGTGAAATAACGCACTGAATGCTACAAACATTTTCATGCAACACTTAATAGAACGGCGGAAAGACTGTTTTTATGTTGTTTTTATAACCCCTATCGTAAAAACTTGAGGACATCTTTAAAATGGGAGTCGATGAACTTGGCGGGTAAAGAATCTCTCTGTTATTTCAGAATTAAATTTATGAAATTGACATTTGCTCAATGTTCGAATGGAGGAATCGGTTTCACGGCTTCCAGTCTGCTCCCTACTTTATGAAGATAATTAATGGCCATTTATACGTTTGATTTTATTATATTCCTTGTCCAATAGAGAATTCTAAATTCTGTTTTTGATTAAATGCAAATTATATTTTATAATGTGCCGACCATAAATTATTTTTTCATCTTAATTCGTTATAGTTAGGTACTACGATTAGATTTTGTTTTTCACAGTTTATATTAAAAGAATTCAAGTAAAAAATAAACTACTTTAGCATATTTCTGAGTACTGGCAACATTGGTAACTAATTGTTATAAATTAGCATAATTTATTCCTGTATATTTAGATGTAATTAATAGCCAATTAAAGCCTTTTCTTTATATTTTTGTATTACATACTCAATTTATTAAAGTTGAGTAAAATATGCTATTGTAAATAATTTGGTTGAAAGTATACTCCTCTGGACATTCAACGATTATTTATGATATGTATGATAATGTATAATTGAATTGTATGTTTTAATATATATATATATATATATATATATATATATATATATATATATTTGTTATAATGTATATATACCACAACGACACATTTATAAATATATAAAAAAGTTATAAGAAAATAAAAATCTTAAATTTCTATAAATTCAAGTAAATATTTGGCATAATTTTCTATATGAATCTCAATTTTAAATAGAAAAAAAAATCTAAAAAACTATCACATAGATAGAAGAAGATAAGTAGACTTTGTTACAAAGCGTACAAACACAGTTAATAAACTAAATAATGAAATAAACAAAGTCATATATATATCATTAACATAATGCCATGCTATAACATGATAAATGCGAAAATGAACTTTACGCTCATGAAAATAATACTCTTATCTAATTTCATATTTAAATCTTATTTGCAAGAACACGGTAGAAGTTTTCACGGCTTGACAAGCCTCAGGTGCTACGGCCTTAACCCAATTTGCTTTGTAGGTAGATTATTTTCTTACTTTATCAATTGTGATTATCTTTTTTGCTTGCAATTGCTTATTATTTGCCCTTAATTTCATAGCGCAGTCAGAGATAATAACTCTCTTTTAAAAATATATATGACTAAGTGTTTTTTTAAATCATTTTGGTTTTATTAAAAAAAAGTTGTTAAATTGTGATCTTGTACCAGTAGTTTCAATTCCAAACATACGTATTTTGTTTTTTTTTGATGGGTGAAAATGGTATGGTAACAGTAACTCCACCTGCGCTAACGGGATACGCTGGTGGAGCACCAGTGAAGGGTGATAGATGGGAATGAAAACAGGCCAGTTAGCCCATCATGATAAATTCATCAGGAATTAACCATGATAGTTTCCAGGGGGAACCGCGAGGAGGTCGACCTGGTTGGGTATATTGTTAGCAATGGGATTCTCAGTCTCCATTACTAACAATCCTTTTCCACCCTCCAAACATACGTATTAAAAACTTAGAGTTGCCTATGATAATTTCACTAATACATTTCTAGTCATATGTCGACCAAATAGGCGACGTGCTAAGAAAGGGCCAAATTAAAAGTACCCGTAACCGGCGAGCGTGTATGAAGAGATTGATAAATGTGGAAGAAGCGAAAGAGGTTCGTTTGAATTGAAGCATTTGGCGTTCCATTGTTTCTGCCCACCCTAATGGGAGAGAGGCGTGACAGATATGTATGTATGGACATTTCTAGTGGATGGTAGAATCCCTAACTACACTTATGGTTTTATTATCCAATATTCTACGAAATACACCCAAAATTTTCAATTCGTCATACTTTCTAACTCAAATGGCTCGATCGCCATTATGTGTCTAATGTTATTAAAAAAAAACTTTAAAGTACATTTTAACAAAAAGAAATCTTTATTTCTATGTTATTTATTCTCTTACATTCAAAATAATTGTAAAGTTAGTTGCGCTCTTTTTATAATTTTGTTAATTCGAACATGGTTCTGAAATCTGAGGGCCTACCATGAAATGAGATTTTGATGTTTCGGACTCAATTTCGTGTTTTCGTTCATACCTTAATCGGTCCAGTAAATGGAACTTAACATGTCGTTCATCATAAATCCTACCATAAAAGTCCAATAGAATAATATTTTAATATTTTTAATATTTTTAAACGATAAGTATTATGTAATTTTTACATCAAATTTGTGTTTCGTTCGGTTCCGAAATTTCGGAAAATATTTCATGGTACTCTGATACTTTGATAACCTCGTGTACCACTTTTTTAGTTGCATTGTGCTCTTTAATTTGAATAATTATTTACGTCACCATATCAGCTGTTAACTGACCACTGGTGAACACAGCCACCTGCATCCACTGATTCCTTGCATTGCGTATGACGTCATCGCTCCATCGGAAATGGGGGGAGTCATATTTTTTTAATGGGTAATAATAGTATAGTAACCCCGTCTGCGCTATTGGTATATACTAGCGGGGCACCAGTGAGGGATGACAGATGAAGATGAAAGCAGGTCAGTTAGCCCATCTTGACGAATTAAACTAGAATTAGTCACGATGGTTTCCAGGGGGAACCACGTGCAGGTCGAGCTGACAGGGTATATTGCTAGTAATAGGGCTATTTGACTCTATTACTAACAATCCTTTTCCCCCTTGGGGGAAAGGTCATATTATATTGCAATATGCTGTTGGTGCAAAATATTCTAAATTTCATTTATATAAAAATAAGAGTACAATACATAAACATACATATATAATATAAATAATAATACATAAATATACTAAATAGATCAAGGTAAATAACACGTGTATATATATATTTTTTTTGATGGGTGAAAATGGAATGTTAACCCCGCCTGCGCTAACGGGATACGCTGGCGGAGCACCAGTGAAGGGTGATCGATGAGAATGAAAACAGGCCAGTTAGCCCATCATAACGAATTCACAAGTAATTAACCATAATAGTGTCCAGGGAGAACCGCGAGGAGGTCGACCTGGTTGGGTATATTGCTAGCAATGGGATTCTCAGTTTCCATTACTAACAATCCCTTTCCCCCAAATCACACGTATAACAATGGTATTCTCATTTCAGATATCGGCGTATTTGTCCGTGACGGTGTACATAGAAGACGTAAACGATAACGCGCCAAAATTTTTAGACTCCTCATACAAAGTCACCGTGGATGAACTGACACCAGCAGGTCGGTAATATTTTGTTTTTTTATTTATTTATTTACACTTTATTGTATACACTAATAATACATAAAAATAGGACAGAGGTAAGCTAATGTACAAAGGCGAGGATAACTCTACAGGAGTTCTCTCTCAACAAACTCGAAGTGGAAAGGAGCATCAATGTCAGCGGGTTTTTTTTAATGGGTGTTAATGGTATGGTAACCCCGCCTGCGCTAACGGGATACGCTGGCGGAGCACCAGTGAAGGGTGGTCGATGAGAATGAAAACAGGCCAGTTAGCCCATCATGATGAATTCATCAGGAATTAACCATGATAGTTTCCAGCGGGAACCGCGAGGAGGTCGACCTGGTTGAGTATATTGCTAGCAATGCTGCTATTAGACCTTATTACTTGTTTGTAATGAGGTCTAATAGCATGATTGTTAGTAATGATTGTTAGTAATGAGGATTAGTAGCCCCATACTCTGGCAGGACCCCTTTTTTTAACGTCTGTAAAATGCTTTATGCAGACCCATACACCTTGTGGGAGGTGAATGCGTACTGTGGGAATCCCCCCATAAGGTGGGGGTGTACCCACCAAAAACCAGATGATATACCCTCGAGGTGCCATATGTCGGAGACATGGGTTCGCTTTCGCACTCACCACATTTCCGACGTCTGCGACCCGCGCCCTGATGGCAAGAGCAGGTCTCCTCTCTAAAGATAGGGTGGATGGCGTGCTCACTCTACCACTCGGGGGCTGACAGGACCCCCTGGAGACCATCGTGATTGTGGTGGGCTAACTCAGGTCAGTTAGCCCACCGTAGCAAACAAGCATATAACCCGTCTGATGGTAAACGGTCACTGTAGCCTATGGAGAGTGTAATGCGGACTATTAGTCCCATTGCTCACAATATACTCTGTCAGGTCGACTTCCACGTGGTCCCCCCTGGAAACCATCGTGCTGAATTCCTCATGTATTTATCTCGATAGGCTAACTGATCTGCTTTTTCATCCTCACCTATCATTCTTCACTGGTGCTCCGCCAGCGTATACCGATAGCACAGGCGGGGTTATTATCCATTATCATCGATTAAAAAAAAAACATCAGCATATGATCTTTGGTCGTGACATGGATGATCTTACCTTTCTCAAGGCGAATTCGTGGGATGTTGTTTAAACTCTCATAGGCGCCTATTCTAAATTTAGATAACAATGTTTTGCTATTAACTTGTACTGTGTCTATATTTAGTTTCAAGAATCACTCACTATGGGATATTGAAACGCCTTCTCTGCACGATATATACACAGTGAAATACAATACAAACATTATCTATCGAGAGTTTAATATGCCATTTAATGATTTAACTTTCTTATATTAAATATAATATTATTTTGTACTTTAATTTCATTAATTTGATTAAATTTAATAAAATTCCTAACATGATTGATTGTGGTAAATGTAAAATTTCAGATTTATTTTTATTTTATTTATTTATTAGTAGGAAAACCAGGGCTACACTAGAGCAAAAAAATACAGTTTAAGATCACAAAATAAGCCACTAATAGGTTTTCACAAGTAGCAACAATATAGATACAAGGCGCTGTACACAAAGCAACAAAAATAGGAGTGAACAAAAAAAGTGAAGTTAAATAAAAGCTTGTAAAAAAAAATGAACAAACAAGAACGAAAATTAAAAAAAAACATGATGAATAAAATACAAAGTAAAAATTAATTACAAGTATTTGATTAAAATATGGCCTTCTTGTCCATACAATAGCCATTCAAACTGACTATGAATAAAAAATTGCCTACTCAGCTGGTCTCTGTAGTGATTTATAAGTTTCGATTTGTATTAATTTTAATAAAAACTAATTTGATTTATTTATATATTAAATACGATATGCTAATAACCGTATAATATAATATAATGTATAAAAACCGTCTTTCAAAAAAAAAGTTCACGCTCACTTTTTTACTTTATCCGAGCAGTAAGTGCTTTATATTATTCTCAATATCGTGTATAATATAGTACATTTTATATATGTGTAAGTATATTTGTTATTTATATATATTTATTCATTTATATATGTAATTTTAGTATGTATGTATATCAATAATTACTAGTACCGCATTCGAGTATTCTGACACTTGCCTATGGTTGACTGGGAGAGAATGCTTTTAGCATTAAGTCCGCCATGTACACATATATGTACTAATGAATATATAAAATACATATGCCTAGAAATTCTTAAGTTAAATATTATAAATTATCTACGCTTTTCTTAATACGTGTATTCATATCAATGTTATATATTCAGTTAGTATTTTCAACTGATTTCAAAATACAGGTGGTTTTCAAGTCGGTTTTTTTTTTGACAACTTAGAATGGAAATCAAGCTGATGGCCCACCTGATGAAAAGTGGTAACCGTCGCCTATAGACATGAGCAGTACCATGGACATAACAGAGTATACTGTTTCGGCCATGATACCCCCCATATATATATATACACTCCTCGCGTTGCCATTCCTGAGGAAAAATAATCTCAGATGTTATTCCTCTGTACCCTGTAAATTCACGCCATATTTTTTTTCCCACCCTTTTTTTCAAACCGAAAGCACAGCCATGCAAACATGACTGCTTCACGGTAGGAACACGAATGAGACAGAGGTAACAATCGACTTTTGTACAAAGTCTCCCTCTATATAACGGTTGTACATTTTTTTATGTTTGTTACCTCATAACTTCGTCAGGTCTATACCGATTTGTATTTTTTCTATCTTAAAGGATATATTTTCAGTAATAGTCACATAGAAATTTTATTAAAATCTGTTCAGTAGTTTTAGTTTAGTTTAGAATTCAAAATAACAGGTTTTACTTTAATTGAAGTCGCTTTTTATGGCATACAATCTCTCTCTCTCTCTCTATATATATATATATATATATTATATATATATATATATATATATATATATATATATATATATATATATATCTTTTATATAATTTTAATTATTTTTTTTTTAATTTATGATCCACAAACTACACTTTCTAACGTATTATATTAATTGGTTAAATACAATTTATACTACTAAATAAGTTTAAATGTCGCCTGCGGATATGGATATGTTTTTTTAAGTTTTCAATACCCTTCATCCTAAGGTTCTTAGTAAAACTCTCCTTATTGGAGAAACCTATGTTCAGCAACGGACCGTAAATGGCTGATAGAAACCTTAAGCTGCCAGCAAAGGATCGCTGTTTAGTAATAAGGTCGCCCATTGTTGTCTCATTTTTTTGAATTTTTTTTTGTTACATGTTTAAATTTTTGTATTATGTATAGTATCGCTCTTTAAATAGAATAATAAAGAGTTTTCATTTAAATCGTTCATAATTTTCAGGTCTAACTATTTTCAAGGGCATTCGAGCGTTTGACCGTGATAAACCTAACACACCCAACTCGGATATCCAGTACAGCATCACAGGAGGCAACCATGACGATCACTTCGCCCTTGAGAGTTCCCATAAGCCTGCTGTTATACTGAAGAAACAATTGGACTTTGATGCTGGTGACAGGCAGTTTAAGATTATTGTAACCGCTTCGGTAAGTTTCTTTCTAAACCGGTGTTTCCTAACGATTTCCCACGATAGTTAGGGGGGGGGGGGGAATTAAAAATGGACTCGAAGCGATTTTAACCGTCTTGCTCCGGGCCATTTAAATGCAATGTTAGAAGTAGAGAGAGAAAATGCTGTAAATATGTATTAGGTATAATTTCGTTTGACGTTGCCAAAATGTCAACTGGGCGATTAGAGTCGTCGAGTAAACTTTGTCGGGAAAAATTATGTATGGGGGCATAAAAATGTTAGAAACGTTCAAGTGGGGCATGGCATAAAAAAGGTTGGGAGACACTGTTCTAACCATATATTCTATAAAGGAACGATTTGATTTTTTGTTTATAACGGATAAACTCAAAAACTACTTAACGGACTTTGAAATTTCTTTCACTTAAAGAAAGCTTTGTTATCAGCAAATAACATGGACTGTGTTTTATTATATAAAAAAACCGTGCAAAGCCTGGGCAAGTCATATAACTCTTATATAGTCTAACATGATAAGGTATCATATGTGAGTCCTGCTGGTCTATCATAAAATGCAAAAAAAAAAGACAGATAACTCACCTGATGAAAAGTGGCAACCGTCGTTTATAAACACGAAGAGCATTTATTTCTAAAACACAAAAATATTATTTCTATAAAAATATATACATATAATAATACTAGAATATATATAGGCAATAGTTATTAATTAAATTTATCTATAAATCTTTTGAAACTAAAACATCAAAGGGACCTTTTAGTTTATGATATTGTTGCCGTATAGAACGTCGATTGTGGGCGTTACATTCTATTATTATTTATCCAAGTTGCAAGCAATTTTATGAAAATCAATTTGTGTGGGTATTCACGTATCCATTTACACAGAGGAGCGATAAACTGACCTTTTCAAAGTACGTTATTGTTATGTACGTAAAACGTATATGTACATTGAATTAGTTTTCATTTCAAATAGGAATTGTTATGTTTAGTACCAGTACTTGCAAACTGCAATGGATTTACCGTCATGAAACAATCAGAATTATAATATTTCTTATATCTAACTTCTACCATTCTGGGGGGAAAGGGATTGTTAGTAATGGAGACTGAGAATCCCATTGCTGGCAATATACCCAACCAGGTCGACCTCCTCGCGGTTCTCCCTGGAAACTATCATGGTTAATTCCTGATGAATTCATCATGATGGGCTAACTGGCCTGTTTTCATTCTCATCTATCACCCTTCACTGGTGCTCCGCCAGCGTATCCCGTTAGTGCAGGCGGGGTTACCATACCATTTTCACCCATCAAAAAAAAACTTCTACCATTCTATTGCTTATGGTTTTGAAAAATAATACACTTAGATTTGTATGTCATCATACAGAAATATCTTACAGTGGAGTTCAAAAAAGTGTAGGACGAGAGGCGTAGTATACTTGATAAAATACGTATTTAGCGTTCAGCGTTCAATTTTTATTTTTGTTTGCCAACTTTGTATGTTTTTTTGCCACGTGCCCATTAAGTTCTTGGAGTTATGGATTAATTATTTTAAGTGTTCTACGCCATGTCAGTGTATTTTTGTAACTTTTAAAGAGTCATTTTGTTTATAAAAATATCTTTCTAAATATATAATATATGATAATTAAGCATAATTTTGTGGTCGTTTACTTTTCTAGCGTTAACTTTTAAATATGAATACATTACTTATATATATTTTTTCAACCAATTTCATAAAAAGGAAGTGGGTGTTTTCAAATTCAGTTATAAACCAATTTGTATTAAAAATAACAAAATTATTTTTTAACAGAAAAGATATATTTTTTTGTATACAACTTAGAATGGCCAATAAGTTGTCGGCCCACCTGATGGAAAGTGGCAACCGTCGCGTATAGACATGAGCAGTACCATGGACATAACAGAGTATAGTGTTTCGCCCATGATACCCCCCATGCGTTGTCATTCCTGAGGACTCAGGTGTTATTTCTCTGTACCCTGTAAATTCACACCATATCCCACCCTTCAAACCGAAACACAGCCATGCAAACACAACTGCTTCACGGTAGAAACACGAATGGGACAGAGGTACCCAAGCAATCGACTTATGTACAAAGTCTCCCTCTGGTGAAATACTTTCAGATTAGTTTCATAGAAATTTTATTAAAATAGATTCAGTAGTTTAGTTATTAAATGAAAATAACTAGTTTTGCCATGGAACACAAATGTGTTAAATACTTTATAATTCCGTTTCAGGACCGTGGGTCCCCACCGCGTAGCACCAACACCACAGTCGATATCTACGTACAGGATAACGATGATTTGCCACCAAAGTTCTCACGCGATATTTACAGGACGCAGATACCCGAGTTTTATCCACTATTGGTGAGTATTTGTAAACAAATTTTATAAGCACAGTTTTAAAAATAATTGCACATATCTAGAAAAAGATCTAAAAAGAGGTAAATAACAAAAACGACACTACTGTCAGAATAGGAGTGAATGGTAGCAGAGTTGCCCAGCGGAAGCGTGCTGGGCCCATAACCTAGTGTAATATTACAATACAGGAAGGTTTTCAGCAAACAAACTTTTTCTTATGGAACAAATTATTTTCATAGGCACATGTGAACATTTAACAATGTGGAGCGAACAGAGAGAAAGAATGTTACAAGTTTTAATACAATATATAGTATATATATAGGCATAGACCATAATTGTATAAAGCCATGGGTGTGAGAGTGTGCTCTATCTTAGGTTACAACAGTGAATACTGACATGATTGCTAATAAAGTATCTGTTGCTACTTACTGCTATTGTTGGTGTGGCGCCCTCTGTTGTCAATATTTTCTAGGATGCCATTGTTATACATCAACGCCTTTGACATGGCTTACGCCGAAGTACGAAGCAACTTGTTCAAAAGTATAATATCTAAAAATTATTGAGCGTCCCAAGGCGCTTAAGCAATTGACTAGCCCTCATCATCATGATCATCATATCAGCTATTAATTATCCACTGCTTAACATATGTCTCTCTCTTGGGGGACTTCGCCAGTAGTTGCCACGCTAGGCAGGCGGGACCAACCTCTTACGACATCCACGGGCAAGGAAGAAGTGAGTCATTCTGTGCCAGGATTATACCGCGAATTAAGTATGTATTACATTAATTATAATTTAATATTATTTATTATATTACAGGGCAAACGTATCCATCAGGAATTGATATTTCAAGAGCACATAAAAGCATTTGACCAAGACGAGGGCCTGAACGCATCTCTACGGTACGAACTCGTCGCTGGCAATGAACGAAAGCTATTCTTTTTGGATCCTGTCAACGGTACCCTTTTTCTGGAAAAAGAGATTGACCTTGACGTCGAAACGGGACTTCCAGGTAATTTTAACAGAGCAGAAACAAAGAACAGTTATTTGTCATTCTAATGGCACCATGAATTTGAAAATTAATAAAAATTTTAAGATTCAATTATGCTTTAACAGCTGACCAAATTTAATTTCATAGATGAGCTAAAGCCCATCCGAGATATATCTTGGTAAATGAATAGAATACTTTTAATCCTTATTATATCGATAATGTTACGGGTGCAGTAATTATTAAGTTAAAAAAAAACCGACCTTGGGAATGGCATCGCATGAGGATACCATAGTTACTACAGTATATTCTCTGTTGTTCATGATACTATTGCTCTCGCTGCCCAATTTAGATGCTAGTCTTCCACAACTATGTTTAATTTTGTTATTATTACCAATTAATGTGTAATATGGTTGTAGTGGATAAATAAAAAATATTCTTTTCTCAAAAAATTCACATCTTCCCTCTTAAGGAGAGGAGATGGCAAACTAACCCCCGGCAGAAGCATAGTCGGCCGGGGTTCGAGGTCTCAGGGAGAGAAACCAGCATACAATGTGGGCAGTATCTAAGAGCACCGCTTTCTGCATCTTTCCCGGAAGTTAGCCGCCTCGGAATTCCAACCGTCTGATATGTTGTTCCAGACTAGTTGGGATAAGACCGTTCACCGACAAAACGATTGGAATGATTTCGGTGGATGCCACCCCCCACATTTCGGTCACCTCGTGAGCCAAGTCGAGAATTTTCTCTTATTCTAAGTTTTGACTTTCACGAGGTTATCGTCATCCGGTATGGTGACATCCACCAAAATCACCCTCGAGAGTGCCCGATCCATCACCACGATATCAGGTTTGTTCGCGAGAACTGTCCTGTTCGTGATGATGGATCGGTCTCAATAAAGCCTGACGCTGTCGCTTTCGAAGACCGGCTGGGGCTCGTAGTTATAGTACGACAACCTCTCATTCGCGAGGCCGTACTTCAGAGATAGCTCTTGATGGAGTATTATTATTATTATTAAAAAAAAAACTGTACATGTCTATAACCAATGATTACCAATTTCCATTAGTCGTAAGCTTATTTACTATTCATATAATTTATTTCAGGCAATACATTCGTGCTGCAGATCCAAGCATCGCAGATTAATAATCCTCTAAAAACAGCACAAGCTCGAGTGGAAGTTGAAATCTTAGATCTGAACGATAATTTACCTGAATTCGAAGTGGATTTCTATAACATAAGCATCGTAGAAAACTTACCTAATGGTAAATGCATATTGAATATTTTTATTATTAAATTTCTACGAGTATCTACCATTATATATTTCTTATATTAACATACAAAGACTTTGTACAAAAATCGTTTGCTTAGGCACCTTTGTTCTCTTCGTGTTTCTACCGTGATGCAATTCTGTTTGCATGGCTGTGTTTCGATTTGAAGGGTGGGATATAACAGTGAATTTACAGGGTACAGAGGAATAACACCTGAGTCTTCAGAAATGGCAACGCATAGAGGGTATCATCGGTGAAACAGTATACTCTGTTATGTCATGGTTCTGCTCATGTCTGTAGGCGACGGTTACCACTTTCCATCAGGTGGGCCGTCAGCTTGTTTGCCATTCTAAGTTGAATACAAAAATCCTTTTGATACTATGAAAGAGTTCAACATCAATGAATTTTTTTATACAACTTAGTGGTCCGTCAGCTTGTCTGCCATCTTGCATAAAAAAAATATAACAAACTCTTTATTGAACACAATAGATGCATCCAATAATTTTTCTTAGTATGGGTATTATTTTGCTTTTATGAATACCTTATTGAAAATAAATTTAAATAACAAAAAACTTGATGAATGTAATTGCTTGCAGATCGTTGAATATTAGTTCTTATTGTATGTAATAATTTATTTAATAGCAAAGTTTCGGTCTAGATATAATATATTTTTGAATCTACAGGTTTCAGTGTATTACAAGTAATGGCGGCGGACAAAGATCAAGGTGAAAATGGAGAGTTTACATATCAACTGAACGATCGTAAAGGCGCCTTTTCAATCGATCCTAGAAGTGGATGGCTTACCGTTAAAAACCAGGTGTCTTTTATTATTGCGTAAAAAATCTATTTTTTTAGTATTAGTCAACTTGGATTTCTTTTTGCTTTATTAATTGAAATTACGAAAAAAAATTTTATGAGTAATAGCAGGTAGCAGTTATAAAATTTAAATATTTTCTCTTTTCAGACTGTCCTGGATAGAGAACGACACTCGTCTTTGAGAATGAAAGTATATGCCAAGGAAAAGAATCCCAGTGTTGTCGGAGCTTTTTATGATAAACAGCGACAATCAAAATTGCGTAGAAATTCCGTCACTTCTAGACCAGCATATAGAGACAGAACTACTTATGTATTTCCTGATAAATTGGGAAATAAAAACGAAAATATAGAATATTTCGAAGAGGCTCATCAACTGATGTCTTTTGTAACGGTAGAAGTAACACTGTTAGATGCTAATGATAATAATCCAGTGTTTGTGCCGAGTAACCTTTATGAGTTTAGTATTAAATCAAATTCTAAAATTGGATCGTTTATTGGGAAAATTAAAGCTGTCGATCCAGATTTAGGAAGAAACGGTATGGTTTACTACGATTTGCAAAGAACTAGTAACTTAACTATTACATCTCCTTTCTTAATTGATGCCAAGACTGGGGCTATTAGTGTAGCTGAAACTCCGATTATAGAAGGAAGACATGCACTTTTCATCGAAGCTTCAGATCAACCAGCTAATCCCAGTGAAAGGCGATATTCTTTAGCTGTAGTTACAATAGACGTGACTAGACCTAGTAAAGGTAAGTAGATATAATTTAAAAAAAGCATACATGATATAGCTTGGCTATACAAACTACATTAACTTCATTTATTTGTCAGGTAATAAACCAGAAAAGCCAGACTTCATAGGATCACCATACGAATTTTGGGTTGGATCTAATGTTGGCATAGGAACAAGTGTAGGCCAGATTAGAATAAATGATGCTATGGAAAAAAGTGATGTATCTTATGATTTACTACATAGTTATGAAGAAGGAGGTTTGTAACTACAAATTGATAAATTAATTTAGTGTTATTTACATTTTTTATTCCAATACTTTGTGTTATATTTTACAGTACCTTTTGCTGTTGAAGAAAAATCAGGAGTAATAACGGTTATAGAAGAACTATCAAAATTCAATCGTCCAATTTATGATTTTGAAGCAGTAGCGACGCAAGATAATTCTAATATCTCCATAACAACAAACACTACAATTCACGTAGTTGATGTTAATGATGAGAGAGGTGTTTTATTAAAGTAATACTTTTATACATATTTGTAATATTTTTATGACTTTAGAATTTCAATAACATATTTATTGATTTTAGGGGTTCTAAGACTCCGCTCATATTTCATGTGAAGGAAAATATCGCAGGAGCGATTATTGGCCAAATTTTTCCAGTTAATATGAGTTCATTATCTACGAATAATACTGGAAACATTCGATTTATAATTGCCAATCAACAAGACGTTTCAAATGATATTGCTATTGGTAAAGTATCGAAAAAATATTATATTTATTCTTTTATTTATATCTCTATATACATATAATTATAATTTATTATTCTACAAAAACTTTTAATTTAACCTTTTTGTACTTTCTTTTTAGGACAAGACGGATCAATTTATGCTCAAAAAGCTTTAGATCGAGAAAAGCGAGATACATATAGTTTGACTATTATTGCTGAATTTAATAAAGGAATGATATCTGGGGCTGGAATATATCAAGCGACTATTTATGTCGATGATGAAAATGATAATCCACCAATTTTTGAATTACCAGCTTATGAAGGACATATCCCAGAAAATTCAAAGAAAGGCACAGAAGTTAAGGTTACTAACAGAATAGTGGCGAAAGATGCTGATGTAGGAGAAAATGCCTTGTTTATGTACACCCTTTTTGGTGATGGTCATGAAATGTTCAATGTCGATCAAAACACTGGCATAGTTACATTTGTCGGCAATAAAATAGATCGTGAAGAAAAAAGTAGCTATTTACTAAAAATAGTAGCAAGAGATAAAGGTGGTTTGAGCTCAGATGCCAAATTAACAATTACAGTTGTAGACGAAAATGATAATGTACCAAAATACAAACAGTTAACTATACCATTTGGAGAAAACATTGACTTGTTAGAAGCTGATGATAATGTTCAAGTCCAAATATACAAAGAGAAAAAGAATGAAGCTACAGGGTCTATAGCAAATATAGAAATAAAACCTAGAAATAAATTTCCTTTAAAAGTTGGAGATCTAGGACCATTATTTTTGGTACCAGAAAATATTGCTATAGGTTCGACAATATTAAAACTGGGTGCCGTTGATATGGATAGTGGAATTAATGGTCAAGTCAGATACGAATTTACTTCAGAAGTTTTTATACCTCCTCATGAAGTATCTACAGATTCTTTACAAATAAAAAGATATTTTGTTATTAACGAAAGACATGGTCATATTATTGTAGCAAGAACTTTACCTCCTGAGTCCGAATTTAGATTAAACATATCAGCTTTAGATGGTGGAGAATTGAGTGATCACATATCTGTACGATTTTTCATAAAAGACATCAATGATCATTATCCAATGTTTAAAAAATCGTGGTACATGTTCAACGTTGAGGAAGCTCAATATACAAGAAAAGTATTAGGAAAAGTGGATGCCACTGATGCTGATTATGGACAAAATGCTAACCTTACATATTTTATCCAACCGTCTAGTAAAGAAATTCCATTTGAAATATCACCATTAACTGGTGTGTTTAGTGTAAATGGTGAACTTGATAGAGAAAAGGAAGACAAATATGTACTTACTGTAGTAGCAAGAGATAATGGAGTAGAAAATAAATTATCTTCTTCAGTAAGTGTAGAAGTACAAGTATTAGATGTAAACGATAATGCACCTAAGTTTTTCGGTTATGATGAGTTATTAAAATGGCAACATCCAGAAGCAGATGAAATTTCAAATCATAACTTTGAGTCTGTAATGATGTTACCTCTTTATAAAGCTACTTTAGAAGAAAATGCACCTATTGGTACTACTGTTATTAAATTATATGCAAATGATTCTGACTTTGTCGGAAACGGAAATGGCTTGATCCTTTATAGCTTACCACAAAAAAAGAATCAGTTAAATTTATTTGCTATCGATTCCAAAGAAGGAATAATAACAACAATGGGAAGATTAGATTATGAAACGCAACCAGTACATAATGTAACAGTAGTAGCTTCAGACCTAGGATCTCCGAGTTTAAGTTCAACAGCGATATTAATGTTGACTGTGACAGATGTTCCTGATGAAGTTGAAATGTCCGATAAGCCTATATTTATATCAAGATATTATGAATTAGAAATAGAAGAAAACGTTGAAACACCAGTTGAGCTAGTTAGTTTGAATTTAACCGAGCACTATGAAAATGTAAAGATGAAATATTTTATTCTAAATGAAGACGTACCTGATATAAAGAAAATGTTTGTGATTGATCCTCGTAATGGTACTTTGTATTTAGTGAGAAGTCCAGATCGTGAAGTGAAAGACATTTATGAAGTCATAGTAAGGGCTGAAAGACAAAAAGTGAGCAGAGATATGCCTCATATGATATACCCAGTAGCTGATGATGTTCTGGAGGGTATGAGCAAATACGACGTTAAAGTGTTGGTACGAATAAAAGATGTAAATGACAATGCTCCAAAATTTATAAACGGCGGTAGACCATTAGTGACTGCTATTCCCACAACTGCTGCATTTGGTTATCAAGTTATACAGTTACAGGTAAGTTTTTAAAAACATATTTTTAATGTAAATATTAAGCAAAATTAGATGTTATAAAATACCTAATATATAATACTGGAGAAAATCGAAGACACATGTGATATTCTTAATTGAAACACATTTTATATGATATATTTTGCGAATAAAGGACACAATTTGTTATTTTTATTACTTTAACTACAAAGAAAAAGGAACTTAAAACAGCATCTTTAACTTTGTTGACAAATTATATTTGTTTCTACTTCCAGGCCACCGACGCTGATACGGGAATTAATGCTGATATTCGTTATCAAATTATCAACGAGCAAGCTCCAAGGTTTGCCATCGATGCTGTTTCTGGAACCGTACGTGTGGTGTCGGCTCTAACGCGTGACGCTGGACGAGTGTTTGGTTTCGATGTTAAAGCAACTGATAAACGAGGAGCTGATGATGGCAAATCAGCTATTGCTAATGTTTTTGTATGTGTAATTTCCAAATTTTATCAATTTAATAACATAGTATTACTAAAGGGAGACTTTGTAAAAAAGTCGTTTGCTTTGACAATTTTGTTCCATTTGTGTTTCTACCGTGAAGCAATTATGTTTGCATGGTTGTGTTTCGGTTTAAAGGGTGGGATATGGCAGTGAATTTACAAGGTACAGGAGAATAACACATGAGTCCTCAGGAATGGATGCATGCAACGCATGGGGGAATCATGGGCGAAACAGAATAATAATTATGTCCATGGTACTGCTCATGTCTATAGACGACGGTTATCACTTTCCATCAGGTGGTCCTTCAGCTTGTTTACCATTTTACGTTGCATAAAAAAAAATTACTTCTTAACTTTCTATAACGAAACTGTCTATAATAGTCTATGTTATAACATAATAGACTCCATTGCATACAAAATAAAAATATCGATACAGAATTGGTAATAGGAATAGATGGCCTTTTCACTATTAACAATTTTACCTGATTCTATATCATTACAGAGACAATTTCATACTTGTAGAATATTCAGTTGTATTCAATTTTTAATGCAATTTTTTTTATATTTATATACTTAACTTTATTCAATACTAGGATCTCAAACTGAAACTTTAAATTTATAAACGTTCAATTCAACTTCATTCATATTTTGGAGGACAAACAAAGGTGTCATATAATAAGACACGTCTTTGGCTTTCGTCCATTACGACCTTAAAACTTTTAATATATCAGGCAGTCTCGTACCGGTAATAGAACGAAAAAAGTTTCGTTAGAAAGTCCTAAATATATGAAAAATAATCTTTAAAATATTTAATTATTCGTCTATAAATTGAATATCATAAGAAATAACATTAACGTCGCATTAGTACCGTTTGTAGTGTCCTTTCTATATTGAAAACAAAATAGTAGTTTACCAGAGGGAGACTTTGTACAAAAGTCGATTGCTTGGGTACCTCTGTATTTCGTGTTTCTACCGTGAAGCAGTTGTGTTTGCATGGCTTTGTTTCGGTTTGAAGTGTGGGATATGGCGTGAATTTACAGGGTACAGAGGAATAACATCTGAGTCCTTAGGAATGGCAACGCATGGGGGGTATCATAGGCGAAACAGTATACTCTGTTATGTCCATGGTACTGCTCATGTCTATAGGCGACGGTTACCGCTTTTCATCAGGTGGGCCGTCAGCTTGTTTGCCATTCTAAGTTGTATAAAAAAAAAAAAAGTACCGCGAAGACTGTTCCATGACTGTACTCGTTGTTCCTTGTCTGCGTAGGCTTTAAATCAGTTACCAAGTGTACTTACTAACAGTATTATCGGGACAGCTTTATCGTTTTCGAAAGTGCCGGAGAGTGTCTAGACTGCAGTTATTTATTACTTCACATTTATTGTCCTTAGGTTTAGCTGTGATTTCTCTTAGTGTACTCTATGGGAGTGTTCATCTAATGACTCCTTTAAAACATTACGAATCGCAATTCTCTTTCACAGTTTAAGAGGTTTCGGTTTGAAGGGTGGGATATGGCAGTGAATTTACAAGGTACAAGAGAATAACATCTGAGTCCTCAGGAATGGCAACGCATGGGGGGTATCGTGGGCGAAACAGTATGTGTGTGTACTGTTATGTCCATGGTACTGCTCATGTCTATAGGCGACGGTTACCAATTTCCATCAGGTTGGCCGTCAGCTTGTTTGCCATTCTAAGCCGTATAAAAAAAAGAGAATTAAAGGGAACGATATTTCTGTGTACTCAGACCATAACCTTCATTTGCAAATACGACTCTATTAATACTTTACAAAGAAATAAAATTTAACAGCAAATATTAACATCAACTCTGAAATGTCATTTCTATCTTATTCTAATTTTGAAACTAACATCGAATTATAATAATATAATAAAATTTGTAGAGATTTAATGGACGTGTAGGTACCGGCGTAGAATAGGCCATCCCTTCCTTTCCCACGGCTGTCGTAAAAATCGATTAAGGGAGCTTATGGTGGAGAGATGGGCAGTATCGTCCTTCTTAAAATATCTCCAAAAGCCAAACTGCGGTTGTCAATCTGATTACCAAGCGTGGCAACTGCTGACAAACCTCCCCTTATGGGAGAGACTATGTTTTACAGTGGACAGTTAACGACTAATTCAACAATGAACATTTTTATTCGAACAATCTGTATAAATTTATAATAATACTATTGTATCGAAACTAATTTACATTTAATTTACGAATAGTTTTCCTAAACTACTAAATTAGAATTTTAGAGATAAATTTAAGAAAGAGTACTTCTAAATGGACTTCCTTACAATTTGCATATAAAAATAACTTCCTATATTGTTTCAGTGCTCAAATTATTTTTTTTTTTCAATTTAAATATTAAAAGCAACAAACCCGTTTCACAACCCGTATAATTGGGGACGTTCCCGTTTTAAACCCATGTTCTTCTGAACTATTTGAAATAATGCCCACAACCACTTTTTATCATCACACTGTTCACCATCGATTAGAAATTCATCCTCACACGCTTTTTTCGAAAATGGTAACCATCGCCTATAGACATGAGCAGTACCATGGACATAACAGATTATACTGTTACCCCCATGTACCCCACATGCATTGCCATTCCTGAGGACTCAAGTGTTATTCCTCTGTACCTTGTAAATTCACGCCATATCGCACCCTTCAAACCGAAACACAGCCATGCAAACACAACTGCTTTACGGTTGAAACACAAATGGAACACAGGTACCAAAGCAAACGACTTGAACCTAAATGGTCACGTACAGTGCGGTTTCAAAGAAATTTTCGCCCACTAACGCACAGATTGTGGAGAGAAAAGGTTCCAAGGTTTTCCCTAAAGACTACAGTGTGGGGCTCTTCAAAAAGGGTATATTAAAGTTTCCAGGGTTGGCAACATGCACGTGATACCTCTAGAATTGCAGGCGTCCTTAGGCAACAGTGATCGTTTACCATCAGACGAGCTAATACTGGTTTGCCACCTTTGTGGTGTAAAAAGAACGTAGTCATAAGATATTTTAAAATACCAAAAACATTAAAATCTAATACTTTTTATTCGCAGGTCTATGTGCTAGATGAGAATAAACAATTAGTATTGGTTGTGGACGCAAAACCTATGGAGGTGGAGAAGCAAATTGCTAATATTACTCGAACGCTTACCGGAATAACAGGATATGATATTAGAGTGAGACGGCTAGAATCGAACACTAAGGCTTCCATGGATGGATTTGCGTAAGTGGCTATTATGTTAATGCACACATCAATTTATTTGCCATGTACACATTATGGTGCTGGAGAAGGATGGAGAAAATTAGCTGGAGGGATCGAATTAGCAATGAGAAGGTCCTGCTTACGGTTAAGGAAAAAAGACAAATTATTAGAACTATTGAGGACAGAAGGGGAAAAATGTTAGGACACTTGATACGACACGACGAACTTATGAACATTATAATAGAAGGTAAGATAGAAAGGAGAAGGGGGAGAGGGAGATCGAGACATAGTTACATCAGGCAGATAAAGGAAGGAGTTGGTGTCGTGTCAAGAGGTGAAGAGACTCGCTGAAAATCGTAGTGAGTGGCAAGAGCTCCACCGACAAGAGCGCAGCTCTTAAATAGGATAGATAGAAAGTACACATTATAACTTTTTTATGCAAACCTCGTGGAATGTGATAACCGTCGCCTGCAGATATCAAGCAAAACTCTACTACGTCCACGGTTTGTCTTTTCGAGGTTGAATAATAAACAGTAAAAATAAATATTATTTTCGTAACTTAAGTTCATTATTTAAATACTTAATTAAATAAAATGAGTTTATTTGTATTAAATAGTCTTAAAATTATTAACAAAGACCAAGTTTGGCACCTGTTTAATTGCCTTAAGCGATGTAAGCATGCAAATGCAAATATATATATATATATATATGTATATGATATTTATTATCTTTTATTGTAATATAATATATATCTAATATAACACGCACGCACGCACATACATGCACACGTACACGTACATGAATACACACATGCACATGATCACGCACTCGCATACGCACACGCACACGCACACGCACACGCACACGCACATGCACACGCATACGAACACGCACATACACACGCACACGCACTCGTATGCGCACGTACTGTAATTTGTGGAAATAAAATAAACTCATTATTATTATTGTTAATTGTAAATATTAACATTTTATAAAAGTTTTGAAACTTACATATAACGAACTATGTTTATCATTCCGGTACTACGAATGTAATCAAAACTGTCAGAATTTATAACTTGGAAATATTTTAAAATTTTTAAAATTGTAGTGATGAGAGGAAACCGTTCAAATGTCGTTGCATTCTAAATTCAAATCATTCCTCACTCGCTTCACTGCACTTGGTTTTCTCATATATCGTATCCAAATCTATGCACGTAACATGCAGTCATCGGTTACATGTATCCTAAGGACAAGCAATTCCATAGAAGAAATGACAAAATAAAAATTGTAAATCATATGAGATAATCACACACAATCACAGGTGAGGGTGTAAAGGCAGGTTAGTTAGCACACCGTGACGAATTCCACTAGAATTAACCACGACGGTTTCCAGGGAAAACCGCGTGGACGTCGACCTTATAGGGGGTATTGCTAGCAATGGGCCAATTAGACCCCATTACTAAAAATCCCTTTCCCCCCAACGTATACCGTTAACGCAGACAGGGTTACCTTTCAACTAACTTTCAATCATCGACGCTATCTTTTACAGGACCGACATGTACATCTACGCAGTGGATCCGATGTCCAATGCGATCATCGACATGGATGTTTTACAGAAGTAAGTAACTATCATATTTATTACATGTATATATATATTTTTTTATACAACTTAGAATGGCAAACAAGCTGACGGTCCACCTGATGGAAAGTGGTAACCGTCGCCTATAGACATGAACAGTACCATGGACATAACAGAATATACTGTTCCGCCCATGATACTCCCCATGCGTTGCCATTCCTGAGGACTCAGGTGTTATTCCTCTGTATCCAGTAAATTCACGCCATATCCCACCTTTCAAGCCGAAACACAGCTATGCAAACACAACTGATTCACGGTAGAAACACGAATGGGACACAGGTACCCAAGCAATCGACTTTTGTACAAAGTCTCCCTCTGGTAAATATTTACATTATTACACGTATCATATCTTCAATAATAGAATTTTCATCGTGCCTCCGATCAAACTATTTATAATTACTCCTCTCCATCCAAAGGTTGCCTGCAAGAGATCGCTTTTAGGGATAATACCGCCCATTGTTTTCGCATTGTGATTATTTCTTATAATTGTTTGCATCTATAATAAGTTTACTATTGTAATCTTTTCGAGGAAACGATAGAGAGTATCTATTTATCCATCTATCGCTCCTTTATTTTATTTACCATTAATCTTCGTTGTCCAGCATTGTGTTAGTGAGTCAGTGAACTGTTTTGTAAAAAAAAGCAATAGAATGTTCTCGTAAAGGTTCCTTGAACTGAAATAAACTAGTACGTATTCGTACAAGAAATAGGAATTCAAACGAGATTGTCTATGTATTATTTAAATACATATATTTCGTAAGAGACAACTATGAGAATGTAATGGGCGAGGGATGGGCAGCAGCGAGCCTCTTAAAACATAACCAAAAGTCAAACTGCGGTCTAACAGCGGTTGCCAACTTGCCTGCCAAGCGTGGCAACTACTGGTAAAAATCCCCAATAGGGGAGGCCTCTATTTAGTCATAGATAGCATGTAAATGGCTGATATGATACAGATACTTCGAGTTGACATCAATAAATGTTTGTAATAAATTTTGTAACGTTCTTAAAAAAAGTTAACAAAACTAGTAAAGAAATGGTAATTTTAGTTATGAATGCCAATGGAATGATAACATAGCCTGTACTATTGGTTCCTGCTTAGGACATATTAGTGACGATTTTTGGCGGTGACGAATGAAGTCAGATAAATTTGCCCATTGTAAAGAATTCATCAAGAATTAGCCAATGTTATTATACTAAAAAATGAAATTTCATGGAGATTTTTAAACTACTTTAAAATTAAAGTTAAAATTAAAATTAAGTTATGTGTTTAAAGCTAATTAATGTATTCAAGTCACTTGTACAAATTAAATATATAACGTAATTCTATATTATGTCAAAAACAGATTTCTTCTATTCGAACATTAAATTCAGTTTCAGTCTAAAAGAATCTAAACCAAAAAGTAACAAAAAAAAAAAAAAACACCTAATACTTAGCGAGTGTTTTATAATCTGTCTTCATTTTTTTTCTTATTGTTTCATATTGTTTCATAATAAACACTCACAGAAGTTGAATTGAAAATCTCCTAATTAATAAAAATAATATAAAAAATATACAAAGTATAAAAAACTAAGCTAATTAAGTTTACTTGAAGAAAAAATGTTTTAATAAAGATATTAACTGTACTTATTAATGCTCCTTTCCACTTTCCACGTGAATTTACAGGGTACAGAGGAATAACACCTGAGTCCTCAGGAATGGCAACGCATGGGGAGTATCATGGACGAAACAGTATACTCTGTTATGTCCATGATACTGCTCATGTCTATAGGCGACGGTTACCACTTTACATCAGGTGGGCCGTCAGATTGTTTGCCATTCTAAGTTGTATAAAAAAAAATAGTTTGCTGGAAGAGAACTCTTGTAAAGTTAAACTCGCCTTAATACATTTTCTCACCTCTGTCATATTTTTTTATACATTACTAGCTGACTCGGCAAACGTTGTTTTACCATATACATTATTTCGAGAACTATGCATGATAATTTCTCGTACTACAATTATTATATTCGATCGCCATCTTGCAACCCGTTTGCAGAATATAAAAATCGCGATTAAAAAACAGGGGTTGATCATAAAAAGGGTAAAAATTTGAAGTTGTATGTATTTTTTAATGCTTAATCATAATAAAATAAAAATTAAAAAAATTGTCAAAAAAATAAAAAAAATATATTTAGGGGCAAGTCACCCTGATCATTGAGGGGTATGAAAAATAGATGTTGGCCGATTCTCAGATCTATCCAATATGCACACAAAATTTCATAAAAATCGATAAAGCCGTTTTGGAGGAGTTTGGTAACAGACACCGTGACACGAGAATTTTATATATAAGTTTAGTGTATACAATAAAGTATAAGTTATTGTATTATCCACACTCCACACAGTTGTCAATTCATTGATTGTACCTGTGAGATAACAAAGAGCGTAAAGGGTTCAAAAGAAGGTTCAAATCTACAAATTCAATTTGGAAGTAAACTCAAGTTAGTGTACACTGAAAGTTTCATTTGTTTTCAGTTCAGCCCTTCAACTAAAGGATAACTACTACCGAGAATGAATTATGTATTGACATGCTCCAACAGGTCGTTGGTTTTTGTGAACGATTTATCTAACACTAATATTATAAAGAGGAAAGATTTGTATTTTTGTGTGTATGTATGTTTGTAATGAATAAACTCAAAAACTACTTTGCCAATTTCAATAATTCTTTCATCATTAGAAAGCTACATTCACCTTGAGTAACATAGGCTATATTTATTGCCAGAAAAGATTAGGGATCTTACTAAAACTTTAGTAACGTAACTCAAGGTGTAAAAAATGCTATAAAATATCTTTGGTCGCGTGCGCTGCGGAAACTATTGGTGATAGAACAAAAGTACGTTCAACAATATTGAAGAAAATATCAATAACTATAAAAAAACTTTGCGATACTATATGTCCAACTATTATCGTTATGTCACAATAACCACTTTTTTAAATGTTGTAAAAATGTCCACTCGTGCGAAGCCGGGCGGGCCGCTAGTTTTTCATATTTTACAATCCACTGGATTGAATTTTAATCCCAAAAACTGATTAATTTTAGAAATAATCTAATAATTAAATTCTCTGAATTAATAGATATGAAAATATAATTTTTGGAGAAATGTTAATATAAAATTCTCTATATAAATATAATCTAATATATAAAATTCTCGTATAAATATAAAAATTTCTGTCAAACGGTTTAACAGCACCATCAGTTTTTTCTCAAACATGCTTGGAAATGTAAGCATTATTTTGACAATCTTCTTCGAGATAAATCAAAATTGCCGTACAGGTCAGATACATACGGGTAGCGGCCGGCAAAAGTTGTATGAAAATCCATGTCTGTCGTGTTTTGCGTAAAGTACTATACAAGCCTTGGCCACAACTAGGCATTGATGGACTCACGTATGTGTGCCCCGGCTACGCCTCGGCCCACATTTGCATGTTCGTCCGTCAATGCCTCAGTTGCTGTCCGCTGCAGTAATGTACTAATAATATTGTTTTAGATTACATTCAGGATTTTAAAAAATTGATTAGGCTACTTCAAATTATTGTTAAAATTTTTTCAAGAACTATTAACTATGATGTTGCTTTTGTAATACACGTAAAAATTATCACTAACTTTAAGAAATTTCCAACTTCTTTAATTCATTGCAATATTGTTTGATTATGTAGTACCAGGCGGGATGGCAACCACAGTTAGGCTGTTTTAGATGTTTTAAGAGAGACGATGCTGCCCGTCCCTCCACCATAAGCTCCCTTAGTTACCTCTTATGACACCTACGGGAAAGGAATGGCCCATTCTATGCCAGGACCGATACGGCGAGCTTATTATTGTCTATTTACCATTATTTTCCTGCCCTTATCATATGTCTTCCTGTTCCATTCATTTCTATTTGCATCTCTTTCTAGCCATAATATCTTTCACATTTCTATTATTGTAAAAAATGAGTTTTTTTCTCTTATTTTTTAACAGATCTTTATTAAAACGAGAGGCGGAGCTTCGACATGAGTTGGGTGGATTCAAAGTTCTGGAAGTGGGTGGCATGGCTATGGTGCAAGCAAGAAGTGGCAAGTTGCTTAGCACTATGGAAATAAGCATTGTTGCACTTGCTTGCATTGTTTTTGTTGGTGCCTGCACTACCGCTATTTGCATATTGTGTGTGAGGAAAAGCAGAAGGTATGTTACCAATTTCATCATCACCATTGCTCATTCCATTCAAATATTTATATAACAAATTTATCAATGATTTTTGATAACTTCCTATGACAAATCAGATTTTTTTTTATGCAACTTAGAATGGCAAACAAGCTGACGGCCCACCTGATGGAAAGTGGTAACCGTCGCCTGTAAACATGAGCAGTATCATGCACATAACAGAGTATACTGTTTCGCCCATGATACCCCCCCCCCCCCCCCATGCGTTGCAATTCCTGAGGACTCGGGTGTTATTCCTCTGTACCCTGTAAATTCAATGTCATGTCCCACCCTTCAAACCGATTTATAATTTCAAATTATAATTTCACTAGTATTTACCTGCGACTTTGTCTACATGACCGGGATATAAATATAAATAACTTTATTTTGTCTGAAAAGTGTTAAAAAAAGATATTTAAATATTGTCCACACTTTTCACTAAAATCTGGTATACAAAATTCATTTAATTGTGCTATGCTGCGAACACAAAAGACCACCAGAGGGAGACTTTGTACAAAAGTCGATTGTTGGGGTAGAGGTCCCATTCGTGTTTCAACCGTGAAGCAGTTGTGTTTGCATGGCTGTGTTTCGGTTTGAAGGGTGGGATATAATGTGAATTTACTGGGTACAGAGGAATAACACCTGAGTCCTCAGGAATGTCAACGCATGGGGGGTATCATGGCCGAAACAGTATAGTCTGTTATGTCCATGGTACTGCTTATGTCTATAGGCGACGGTTACCACTTTCCATCGGGTGGGCCGTCAGCTTGTTTGCCATTCTAAGTTGTATAAAAAAAAAAACAAAATAAAAAGTCAATATCACATATTTATTTATATTGTCATATAAATGTCAACATATTTACATATTAGTAATACATTATACATAAACAAATAACAGTCAAATATATTTAGGCTTTAAAATGGTTAAAATATTCATTAACGGAGTAAAACAATTTTTCTATCAGCCACCTTTTTAGTTTCCTTTTATGATATATTTACTGACTGAGATAAAAATAGCCTTTTATCCTTTTCTATCCTAAATAGTATGAGTGTTATATAGTTTTTGATTAAGCTGTTAAGTCGCTATAAGATAACAAACAAACGCACTTTCAAATTTATAATATTAGTAAAAAATTTTAATACCTGTCTCGTTTCAGTTAAAATTCTGACTATTGATATCTGATTATAAATACTAAGATTCCAATAAAGGTTTAGTTGCACATGAACAAAAAAGAATCGAAGGTAAAACATTGAGAGATTTAATTTTAAATTCATATATTCTGTTTGTTGTAGGATTTCGTAGGAATAATTTTCTAATATAACTTTAATATTTTTAAAGAGTAGATTTAATATTTTCAGTTTTAGCCACTACAGGTAAGGGAACTTTACCTTATCGCTGTTATCTTTCAGACCTCAACATCAGCACGAAAGAAAGCATGCAACCCACTATTATATTTAAAAAAAAATGATACCCCCATTAATGAATGCTTCTTAGTTGTCTAATCTAGCTAATTAATGTTAATAGCACATATTTCTTTTCAATCACACTTACGTTTCTTACATCTGAATTGTTACCTCTTATTGAATCCTCTTCTATCTTTTGCCCTAACAGACAACGTCAAAAACCATATTCCCAACGTCTTAACGCTTTTTCTACTGAACACCTAACTAAATATGGCGGTCTCTTCCCATCCGGAGCCAACCAATGTCAAGAGTTAAACCAGTCGTACAGTGAAGCTGACTCTTATATAGATGTGATTAACCATAACACGGCAAAGAAGGTATGCCCACATGGTAACACAGTGGAGGATTTCGGGAAGGCACACCAGAAATGTGTTAACAATGAATTTAATCCGAAACACGAAAGAATGTGCATCAAGTTCAATCAACGACCAGCGCAAAAAAGGTCAGTACCATTTTTATCTGCACTTTTGCAGTCTACAACTTTTTATAACCAATAGTATTTCTTTTTTTTTGACATTCATGCTTACTTTTTATTAACATTTCAGGATATCTAGGGTCTAATTGTTTATATCGATTTACAACACTAACCAACTAAATGCAACTAAAACTTATCTAACTTAAAATAATTAATAATAAATAACAAATTAATAATAACTAATTAATTCACAGCGTCGAGTTTTGACTGTAAATATTTATTATGCTTTCGTAATTTCTCGAATTACTGCCTAATATGAGAATAGCTGCGGTACACGCTGTAGTACATTTGTACATAACTAACTAGTCATAATTATATATAATATAAAACATTGTATAAAGGAAAATAATGTATTTATAAGCCTTCTATTTAACATTACAATGTACGTAGATACAATCATTTGTTTTTCCTTTTAACTTAATTAAATTTAAGTTTATTTATTTACTTATTTTATTAACTGAGTGATCTTTACAGTCTTCCAATACGCTCACCCAGGAAAATATAATATTTTTATTTTAAATAACAACATAACAATAATTTTGTAACAATGTTTCTTATTTAATGTTATAAATATGAAAGATTGTAATAATACATAGATGTATGTTTGTTACTCTGTCTAGCAAAAACTATTGAACTGGTTTGAATGAAATTTTGTACAAAAATAAGTTATATCTTTTCTTAGCACATACACAAAAAGCGTTAACGCACACTTTTTATTTTTATCCAAGCAGTAAGTACTTTATATTATTCTCAATTTCGTGTATAATATAGTACGTGTTATATATGTGTAAGTATATTTGTTATTTATATATATTTATTCGTTTATATATGTAATTTTAGTATGTATGTATATCAATAATTAGTAGTACCGCATTAGGGTATTCTGCCACTTCCCTATGGTTGACTGGGAGAGAATGCTCTTAGCATTAAGTCCGCCATGTACACATATTTGTACTAATGAATAAATAAATATTTTACATACTAATTCACGTGGCTAAAGCAGCGGAATACAGCAAGTATTTTTCTTACTTGTATGTAGTTTTAATTGCATGTCTAATAACTGTAACTCTGACTACATGATTTAATTGTTTATAATACCATAAATTAACTACTGAAAGATTTTCTAACATTGACTTTTGAGCAAATATATTGAACAATTTACAATCTGAACTCGATTGCGTTGTCATAAATTTCCATTGAAAAGAATAATATATCAAAGATAATATAAATATTAAGTGACCGCAAGATCATCATTATCGTACTTCCTATTTATCATCATCGGTGATTCTAACACTACATGATACGAACATGATGTTAAACATGTCTAACACACATACGCATCCAACATAGGAAGGGGCAAGACACCTCGATAACGTCAGTGAATTCTAGTGGCCAAGACTCCGGAATTGCTGAAGGCGTGCGGTGTCCTTGCGGCCAGTCCAGCTTGCATACCTCGGAAGAGAGCAGCGGGTAGGTTTTTATATTTAAAAAAGAAAGATTATATAATCTATATAAATAATATATATAATTATATAGTAATATATTTACCAGAGGGAGACTTTGTACAAAAGTCAATTGCTTGGGTACCTCTGTACTATTCGTGTTTCTACTGTGAAGCAGTTGTGTTTGCATGTGTTTCGATTTGAAGGATGGGATAGGGCAGTGAATTTACTGGGTACAGAGGAATAACACCTGAGTCCTCAGGAATGGCAACGCATGGGGAATATCATGGGCGAAACAGTAATGTCCATGGTACTGCTCATATTTATAGGTGACGGTTAGGCCATCAGGTGGGCCGTCAGCTTATTTGTCATTCTAAGTTGCATAAAAATAAATAAATAAATATTAAATATAAATGTAAAATTACAAAAAACTAATTTTATCGAAATAAGTTTATTCAGCTTTTAAAAGAAAATACTCATGCCCAAACAGTGGAATGTTATATAGTTAATAACCTTAAACTCAGTTGTGATTATTTCTTGTAATTATTTATATTTATAATAAGTTTACTATTGTAATCTTTTGGAGGAAACAATAAAGAGTATCTGTATATCTATCAGTCGAATTAATAAAGATATAAGAGATGATTACTGTAAAAAATTGCTTAATAAATACCCTCTTTTTATATCCAGGATGTTGTAATAGGCGACTAAGGGACGCCTTAGCAATGAAAGTATATTATAAAGTATATATCTCTTGTAATAATATTTTTATATGACTAATATGGTAGCAATTGGTTCACTTGTTTGGAAACTGAAATCTGGTATCTATTCACACGGACAATGATGGACATCTCTGAAAACACTATTTCATAATAGCTTTCTAAAATTGAGCCATTTTTGGGAACTATGATTTTAGCCTATCTCGTATATTGGATTTCTCATCTCTCTAAATATATCGATTATATTCGATTAATATTCAGAACTTTATCATATCATACTCATACATATCATATGTCATACATAACCCTGTGGTTTCGGTATAGAATGGATCACATATTCCTTACCAGTGAGCGACGACTAGGCGACTAAAGGAACTTAAAAGTCAATAGAGTAGTGTTCCTCTTGAAACATCACCAAAGACTATGCTGTTGCCACTACTGGCAAAACCCCCCAATGGTGAATATGTCCAGCAATGGGCAGTTAACTACAGATATAATGACGATGAAATTTAATCTTATTTATATTTACAGTTGCAGTTACGAAGACTCCCTAAAGTCTAACCACAATCAGGAACGAAAGAACTTCCACCGTTCTGACCAGGATCACAGGTTCCCCCGACGAGCCTCGTTCGCTCACCACCCTATGGACCCCCGACCCGTCCACTACAGAAGACAATCCTTCTCCGAAAATATGCAGAGACACTTCCCACCGTTGGAAAGGTTTGGATCTGAAGTAAGATTGACAAGACAGATATCAACTCCTAATGTCTCCAATTTAAATCAATCGTATTTCATGAATAACAATAAACAGAATGTGCGAAGGAAAGAGGTATTGAACGAGCCGATGATAGATTACGATCACAGTGAAGCTGAGGATGTGTTCGATACGAGAATAAAAAGAAGACCGAGCGCAAAGAACAATAGGGGAAAGTTTATGGAGCTCGGTGGACAGGCGGCTGTGTTTGTCGCGACGCCTGCTGCAGCTGAAATAATGAGGAGGCAAGGCAGTGAGAGGCTTATGTTCGCGAGGCCTTTATAGCACATTTAGTTCAAATCTGTAATTGGTACTCGACAAACTTCTATTGTGATAGAAAATTGATTTTTTTTTCAACTTGTGCAATCCATTGTATTTATAGCGTGCTATGTATACATGTAAATAGGAAGTAATGTAAGTAGTTTTAAAAGTAAGATATTAATTTTCTTGCCTACCATAGCTTTATTTTCATAATCTTGGTACTTGTGTCCAAAGAGAGTGTTTTCAGTTAAGAGTGCCATTTGGGAGATGTCTTCAGAAAACAAAAGGAAGACTTTATATTGTTACGGTAGTTAATGTAACGACCACCGTATGTAGTGCATATTTATGTAAATTGATAATTTTGTAATTTTGTAAATAATCTTTAGTCGTAGAATTGTAATAAAATTTGTTACTTTACAGTATTTTATTCCTTTATTCATGAATCTGGTATAGATACAAATTAAATTAAATTTAAATAAAAATTAAGAGTCCTCAGGAATGGCAACGCATGGGGGGTATCGTGGGCGAAACAGTATACTCTGTTATGTCCATAGTACTGCTCATGTCTATAGGCGACGGTTACCACTTTCCATCAGGTGGGCCGTCAGATTGTTTGCCATTCTAAGTAGTATAATTAAAAAAAAAATAACTGCTACTCGACTAGAAATTTAATTAAATTGTTTATGATTAAATTTTGATTTTAATAATAAATTTATGGAAACAATTACTATCTTGTCTATTATATTTATGTATATTATATATTATAGTATGTACTTTATAATATGTGATTCCAATTAGATCAAGTATATAACAAAACAAAAATATTCAACAATTTAATCGTCCCTCTTTTTATTTATTTTTTTACACCACAAACGTGGCAAATAAGCATTACAGCCCGTCTGATTATAAACGGTCACTGTAGCCTATGGACGCCTGCAACACTAGGGGTGTCACGTGCGCGTTGCCGACCCTGAAGAAACCTTTATACAAAAAACCCATAATGTTATCTCTAGGAAAACCTCGAGAAAAAATTCTGCATCGTAATAAACGTAACTGTGTGACATTATTTAAGGCTTCCTGTATAAATAATGACTAATTAAGTCTTTTCTAATAAATGCTGAAGTTGTTGAGAATGATAGGAGGCCAGACTTTTATTATACTAAGATTTACTAGAGGGAAACTTTGTACACAAGTCGATTGCTTGGGTACCTCTGTCCCATCCTTGTTTCAACCGTGAAACGTGAAAAGTTGTGTTTGCATGGCTGTGTTTCGGTGTCAAGGGTGGGATATGGCGTTAATTTACAGGGTACAGAGGAGTAACACCTGAGTTCTCAGGAATTATATATCAGAGTATACTGTTTTGACCATGATACTCCCCCATGCGTTGCCATTCCTGAGGACTCAGGTGTTATTCCTCTGTACCCTGTAAATTCACGCCATATATATTATACCTTCAAACCGAAACACAGCCATGCAAACACAGCTGCATCACGGTTGAAACACGAATGGGACAGAGGTGCCCAAGCAATCGACTTTTGTACAAAGTCTCCCTCTTGTAAATACCTGCCAATGGGGTAGGCTATAAAATTCTCAGATAAACAAATAGACACGTACATCTGTAGTAAGGATTGTAGTCACGTTGTCGAGAAAGCAAGTTCTAAAGTTATTTATTTCGTATTTTGTTCATAACTTTATGATAGGTAGATACAGGTGGATAGATAAGTTACTTAAGTTACTTCAGCACGCAAATAGCAACATACACGTAAATATTCACAAAAAATACATAAGTAAATGACATAAACATAAAAATTACATAAATAAATGACATACTTTGTTTTTTTATTTTATTTTTAATTCGTTTTAATCCACAGTAAAACAAAATGACCACAACTCAATTTATTGTATTGCTGTCAAAACTTGCTCTTTTCAAAAGAGCAAAATACTGATTTATGGCACATTAGGATCTATTTCTGTATGTTAATATATTAAGAAAATTACCAGGGAGAGATTTTGTACAAAAGTCGTTTGCTTGGATACCTCTGTCCCATTCGTGTTTCAACCCTAAAGCAGTTGTGTTTGCATGGCCGTGTTTCGGTTTGAAGGTATATATGGCGTGAATTTACAGGGTACAGAGGAATAACACTTGAGTACTCAGGAATGGCAACGCATAGGGGCGAAACAGTATACTCTGTTATGGCCATGGTACTACTCATGTATATAAGCAACGGTTACCATTTTCTATCAGTTGGGCCGTCAGTTTGTTTGCCATTCTAAGTTGTATAAAAAAAAAGTAGATATAATAACACATATGAGAAAGAATGATGAATTAAGGAGGCAAAACCGATTTATAATGATCGAATAGATCGTCTATTATCTGATAGGGGTGGTAAAAATCTTCGGAAATAACATGTATGCAAGAGACGAGTTGTGAAAATTGTGTTAAGTTTTCTCGATCTACCCAAAATGATTACAACATAAAAATAAAAATAAAAAAAATTGTCTGTTTAAAAATTATCACAATATTGTACACTGCTCTACCCGCTGACATTGATGCTCCTTTCCACTTTGGGTTTGCTGGAAGAGAACTCTATTAGAGTTAAGCTCGCCTTTGTACATTTGATTACCTCTGTCATATTCTTATAACTGGTGTGTACAATAAAGAAAAAAAAAAAATATCATGACTATATAAAATGAGTAAGCAAATCAGCATATTGGATGTACATAGTTGTTGGTATTATAATATATAGCTTGTACATTATTTCCCCAATCCCACAATAATTGATCACTTTAGTTCATCCCCAAATAACCTCGTTACATTTCATTTGTTTAGGTTCAATAAAGATAAAAAAAAAAATATTAGAATACATTATCATAATTATGATAAATCAATAAAACTAGAACAATGCAGACAAAAAAAAGAACTTCTTAACAGTAAAGTTTGTAGTGGGAAATGAACTGTTCCGGTCCACTGCCCAACTGTGGAATAACAACCATAGACCAATAATAGAAAACAAAGAGATATAAATATTTGCGAAAAGTTAGTCTATACACAAATAGATTTCAGTGTGGGTGACCATTTATTAGCGTTATTTGTAGCTTTTCTGTCCGCTGATCAGAACCTTTTAATGATATTTGGACAACATTAAGTGCTAAAAACCTTTTTAAAACAAAAAAAAAAAATACAAACTTATTTTATATTTTTAAGTTGTAGACTTTAAACTCACTATCGGGACTTAACGTGACGCAATTGCAGGTAAATAGTACTTACCGCATTTTTATTGCCGACGTTTCGACGTGGATTGCACCACGTGATCACGACAGGACTGAAATGTGCAGTGTGTTATGGCAGCCGGCGCCGTTTCTTTGGCCACTCACATTGCCACTATTATTGTCTAGATTCACCACTAGACACACCAAGGAAATACCCTAAATTTTTTCAAAATTGTTACTTATGGCTTTTTCAATGCTATCCTAATGTATAGGTACGTTCAGTCAGCAGTTTTACCATTCTAAGTAACATTTTTTTTATACAATTTAGAATGGCAAACAAGCTGACGGCTCACCTGATGGAAAGTGGTAACCGTCGCCTATAGACATGAGCAGTACCATGGACATAACAGAGTATACTGTTTCGCCCATGATACCCCCCATGCGTTGCCATTCCTGAGGACTCAGGTACTATTCCTCTGTACCCAGTAAATTCACCCCAATTCCACCATTTAAACCGAAATACAGCCATGCAAACACAACTGCTTCGCGGTTGAAACACGAATGGGACAGAGGTACCCAAGCAATCGACTTTTGTACAAAGTCGCCGTCTGGTAAACATAGAAACACAACTTAAGAATCTTATATATTATCTATTATATTTAAGATATTATTTTATATCTTTACTAGTAGGATAATGTATGTAACTTCTATTGCCTCGTGTCTTTCGATTTTTTAATGAGTCTTGCATCTAAAAAAACTTTTCTGAATGTCTCGTCTGTGCATTGTAAGATGTGCACCCAGATAAAAAACCATTTAGTAGTCGACCTCTCTGCCTATTCGGTAAAAGAACTGAATCCCAAAAAATTCCATTTGTGTATAAATACCAATTTAACTAAACGATACACATCTGTTTAACAATTTAATATAATTAACTCCAATATGATCACAGGATAAGCTCTAGATAATAATAAAGTGATTCATCAACGTCTCCAAGTTAATCCTGCCTGAACAGCGTCCGGGTTGCGGATATAGAACGGTCACCCTGTAGGCTTGCGACGAGCGCGGGGTGAACGCACTGTGTATCTGGCGTCACTCTTGACGTCGGATTTTTTATTGCCACGAAATCTGTATAGGCTTTTTATTAGCTGCAGTTTATATTTGTTATCATTTGCAACTTGTGGCTTATTTGGATTTTGGGATTACACTGGTTTGTTAGAATTATTTTGTTATATAAGTTCTTTTCATTCAAGGCTTTTTCAGAGCCCTACTCGTAGTTACATCCGTACTTTCTCATGTAATCAATCAAATATATCTATTTCGATTGAAATTGCACTCTTTTCAATCGACTTTAAAAAGAGTTTCTTAATTCGATTGTATTTTTTTTAATGTACTTATCCCATAACTCCGTCAGTTCTAAACCGATTTGGATTTTTTTTTAAATTTATATAAATACAACATTTTTTCAGTAGTTTAGTTTTTACATTAACGCAACTGGTTTTGTCAATTGTATATATTCTTTATTGCACTAAAACATACAGTAACAACAATAAGTTAATAACAATGTTAGCATAGCATAGCATGGGACATAATATTCTTTTATATAAACATACAATTTCTGTAATATAGATAAAACAGATTATTGGTATTTGGAATTAAATTTTTTGTGCAACTTAGAACGGCAAACAAGCTGACGGCACATCTGATGTAAAAGGTAAACATCGCCTATAGACAGAAACAGTATCATGAATACAACAGAGTATATCATGTCGCCCATGATACCTCCCGTACGTTGCCATTCATATTATTTCCTCGGTAACACAAAAAATCAGTATTGATTGTAGAAGATAGAAATGATGAGTAACATCTGAGTCCACAGGAATGGCAACGCATGGGAGTAACATGGGCGAAACTGTATACTCTGTTGTCCATAGTACTGCTCATGTCTATAGGCGACGGTTACCACTTTCCATTGAGTGGGTCGTCAGCTTGTTTGCCATTCAAAGTTGTATAAAAAAAATTTGCCAAAGGGAAATTTTGTACAAAAGTCGTTTGCTTGAGTATCTCTGTTTTATTCGTGTTTCTACCGTAAAGTAGTTGTGTTTGCATGGCTATGTTTCGGTTTGAAGACTGAGATATGGCAGTGAATTTACAGGGTACAGAGGAATAACATTGGCACGAATGGTAACGCATGGGGGGTATCATTAGCGAAACAGTATTTTATGTTCATGTCTATATGTTACATAAAACAAAACAAAAAAAAATGCCTTTATGGACTAATTAGTGGCTTGTCCTGGCTTCT